GCCCTTCTTGTAGATGGGCGTCACATTGATGGGCTTCCTCTCCCTCTGCCTTGCAGTGCCAGCCGTTCTGGGATTCTCTCAGGCAAAGGATGAAAACTTTGAAAATCAGGAAGCATAAAACATTTTTTCCTTCTTTCTTTTTTCTTTTTATTAAACTTTTTATTTTTTCAGTCCTTGGTATGGAAAGACGGGTCCAAACTGTCTTTCCTTGGCTGGGAATGACAGGTCAAATGCATGATGAAGAATATTAGTAGGGGATAGACTCTGAATGCAGAGCTTGCAATAGATTGTGTATATAGGCAACAGCTCTTGAAAACTCTAGTAACATGGAGATAGCTTTTCTATGTGTCAGCGTGCAAGTTCACACTGACGTATATATGCTGTTAATGTAAATTTTAGAACATTTCAGCTAGTAGATTTTAGTTATGAGGAACATTATTTCCTGTCACTTTTCCACCGATACAGTGCTCTGGAAATTAGGATGAGGTTTTAATATGAAGTTTTTTGGAATGATGTATAAAGGAAATACAAAGATGACAGTTTATTTTTTTTTAATTTAAAAATTATTTTTTTAAAAAAACCCTCTACCTAGGTCTGCTCTCTGAAGGTGGGGCTTACATGGGAAATAAGCTTTCCTCAAGGAGAGGCATAATGAACAAGTCAGAAGACTTGTGATTATGTACACAGTTGTTTATCTTAAAGTAAATAGGCCTTAAATGTGTGATTTTCCAGTACACGCACTTTGTGTTTGAAATATTTCTTTTGGTAGATTGAGTCAAAAATACATGCAGGGTTTTTGGTAATTCACAGTTCTTATACATGTTGTCCTACAAAGTAGAATTCTATTGGTAAAGAGCACAGGCTGTAGAAATAGTCTTATCAGATAGCTGAGCAGGTTTGATATTCCGAATTTATCATTAAAACAGTTAGTGCTTTTCTTCAAAGGTTAACTGAGAGTTTAGAGACAGAGACCTGCTATTACATATTATTTTCTAGTCATCTGCAAGCTTAGGCAAACACGTTTTCTCTGGGAAATAAATGTGATTTCATTAATTCCTCTACATCGTAAAGGCAAGGAAGGGACATTTAGTTTTTAAGAAAGGTACACTGCAATACCAACTTTAATACTGGTGTTAGAAAGTATCCTGGCTATTGGATAGGAAAACACATAGTCAGTTTTCTTTCCTTCCAAGAGAGCTTGTGTTATAATTTCTTTCCTGGAGTTGTGGATGTTATTATGTATGAAACTAGGGAAAGCCAGCTCTGAAGGAAGGGAATGATACTTGGTTATCTTGGCAAGTACCTCTTGCAGGCTTCATAGGAGTCCTCTTGGCTTTGCAAAACTGGTGATGCATGTTGTTCAGAACCTGGGAATCAACGTTATCTGAAAGAATTGGTGAAAAAGTTGGTACAGAAATCTGTAGCCCATTATTTTCTTAAATTCATTAGCTAGTAGTGAGGAAGGTGACATTCTTCCAATGTGTAAATGTGTTCAGGGTTTCTGTTCTGTGACTTGAAACTTTTTGCAAGCACAGCTAAAGGAAAAGCTTGCGTCTCCCCCTGCAACTGGATTAGTAAAATTTGTATCAGTTTCTGAAACCTGACAAGAAATTGCGTGTGGAATATCTGACTCCTGAAGAGACTCTTTAAACAGTTCTCCAATGTATTACAGAAAAGGCATGTCCTTTTTATTCCTGCTTTATGACTTTCTCCTTGTATCTGCTTATTGCATGTTGACTCAAGGCTCAGTTACATAATAAATAGATTTTTCCTCTCTCATGTTTTGTGTTTGTTTAGTTACATTCAAAATGTAGTCACAATTGTTCTGAGTGCCTTGTCTGCTTAAAGCATCTCTGCTATCTTGTTTCCTCCCACTTCTTCCATTTAAGAGACTGAAGAGAAAAATGATCGTGCTCAAGTCTTACAAAGTACTGTTTTGTTAGCTTCCAATTGGCCTTTCTGCTCTGTGAGCGTGACATTGAAAGGACATAAAAATGCTGGCTGTCCAAAGAACAAGGATGTTGTTGTAAACTTCGAACCTCATAGTGATATGCAAATGTTTACTTTTCCTGATAGCTTGAGATAGTTTGTCTTCTGATTTAAAAAAAAAAAAAGCTTTAAAAACAATTAACCATCACTGTAGAGTGAAAAGAAATAATATATTGCATGTGTCCAAAATGAAACTGCTTGCTTCTGCTTATGTTGAAGGTTACTCAGTTTCATGGCATTTTATATGTTCTGAGTACTCCTTCCATGGGTGGTAGCTGATCATAATGGCTGCTCGAGTGTTGGTCATAGTGGAAATAAAACTATGCCATTTGCTGTTAGTTAAATAAATAGTTATAGATAAATAGATAAATGTTGGTGTCCCTTTGTTCATTAGTGACTTCTGGGAAGTTAATAGCCAGTTTTGAAGACATAGCTGTGAAATTTTGGGTAGAGAAGGAACGTCTTTATGTCAAACTGTCATCCTCTTCTGAATTTTTTTGGATATTGAGGAAGAATGTTAGTGGTGTGATCCTAATAGATTAGCACCTGTAGCATATGGTCTTGCCATCTCTCCCTGTATCATGCTCTGAAATCAGAATTTTCATACCGAGAGTGTTTGTCAGAGCAGCAAAAATTCTTGTACTTCAGACCAATTTTACCAGGAGAACAAGCCTTTACATTGTTTGGGAAAGCTAAAATAGGAAAGGCAAAATGAAGATTTGGTTTTGGATCAGTGGTAACAGGAGATGAGGGTTATCAGGGTGTTTGCTCCTGTCTTGCCAGGATAAGTGAATCATGTTATTTTAGGTACCCGTTTGCTCTCCACCATCTCATGTCCCATTTATATTGGCTCTATTATGGCCTCCTTTGAACATATGTTCTTTGGAGAAAGAATTATACTTGCAGTGTATATTTTGTGCCATAGGGAGCCTGGTATGGGTTTTCTCTATGTCTTATTTAAAAATAGTAGTATTTAGATCTTCTTGGCACCCCTGCTCAGGAAGTCTGTCAGTCTGGGAGGAGTACAGTACCGTTTGTGTTAGTGACTCCCTTTGCCTGTCCTTTGGATGTCCGTAATGGCCTTTCAGGGTGCTGCCTCTCTAGTACTGAGCTGTTGTACTACAGTGCAAAGTTAGAGACTGAACAAATGTCCTGTTGCCCTTTGGGGATGTATCATGCCTGTGTTGAGTGGATCTGTGCTGTCTACCAGATAAATCTGTGAAAAGTTAGTACTTAATCCATCAGCTGGGTTTGCAGTCAGCCTGCTTTTGAGGTTTCTACCACTCTGGTGGTGACTCTTGATTTTTCTGGTGCTTGTCTGAAAGGTTAGCTGTTGTGAATGTGAGGTGTTTAAAAACAGAAAGTCATCCTTCTGTTTAAGTCTATTTTACACTTAAACTAAATAAAAAACTAAGGATCCTGTATGCTAAGAGAGCTTTTGAGGCCTCTCATGGGACTTTTAATTGCCTTTTTACTTACTGTTTGTGCATATCTGCCATGCTGTAATTAGAATTTTACAGTGAGGAATGATCAAATAGAAAATAATCAGCAACAGTGCTGACTGGAAGTCTAGCTCACTTTCCACCTTTTGTTTTAGTATCAGGAAAAGTAATATATAAACATTTAGCGTTAATAGGGACTATTCCTGTGCTTTTGAAAGATCTATGCAATTATGTAAATAAATTGTGCTATTATAAGTAAATGTTGCTGAAGTTTTCAAATGTAAAATATTCCTTTTCACAGTTAACTAATGAGCATTTGCTTGTAGCTGTGTCAGTTAGTGACAGTTGTAAAAGAGCCTAACATTTTGAAGTGTCATACAATTTACCTGGGCTGTACACATTTTCCGACAGTATCAATGCAAGTGGATATGTAGCTGTACATTAATAACTTCTGAAGACTTTGGGTTAACATTGCTTTTTCCTTTCTTTTTTTGAATTAGTAGTACAATATCAGTCCTTATAGCTAGTTTCTCTACTCGTGGTGCATATGAAAACTTGTAGTGACAGAAAGAGAATGTGTAAAATTATGGAGACCTTTATTTTGATAATGACTTTTCTTTTTGGCTGTAATTTTTTGGTTCAGTTTTATGTCAGAATGGGCATTTACAGTAATAAAGAAATATCTATTATCTTTATTTTTTTGCAGTGTTGGAGTGCTCTGTGCGTATGCTGCCAACCAGCATTTAACTAACCAAGTCCGAGGAGCAAAGAAACTGGTTAACAGTAATTTTAAAGATCTGAAAATTTTCCTTAACGACACTCCAGCGGTAAAGAATTTTTTGTTTATGAGGAATGGGGGTGGGAGGGAAGCAGTGTAAGTAAGAAGTATTGCAGAAAATAATTGTTTCTTTCTATTTGGTATAAATCACACCCACACTATTTTGTGTATTTTTTGTGTGTCAGTGTAACAAAGTAAAATAAGTGATGTAAGGTAAGACATTTTCACACAGTGGTAAATGTTTGGGAGTTATCCTGATGGATCAGCATTTGAGCAACTTTTGAGCTGTACTCCTGGAGTATGCTGCAGTGATGCTTGTAGGCCCTTTTCCTCCTCGTGTAGCTTGCTAGCAGACGGTGAATAATGTAGAAGAATATGGTTTTAAAAGGAATACATATGAAAAAAAGGTATTACATGAAAACTTGGATTCCTTGTTGCTTTTTCCTGTTTCTTTCCATTTTCGACTTGTATGTGCTCTGGGACTGAGCTACAGTGACTTCTTTTCTAGAAGTTTTTTTGGCTGTTTTTTTTTAAACCAGTGTCACACTGTGCCATACTGAACCGGAAAGATTCTCTGCTTTCTGCTTTCAGACTTCCCTTTGAGTCCCAAAAGCAGTCCTCTGCATATCTTTTTTGCATTGAAAGAAAAAAAGAAATGCCAGTAAGGAAGACTTGTAAACTTTCCCATGTACAAATTTCAATTCTTTATGGTTAAGAGGAAAAAAAGTCCCAACAGTCCTATTACCTTGGCTTTCATTAATTTTAATTAATTAAATTAATCTGTTTTACTTCCACATGACTGATAAATTAGAATTAGATGGAATTCACACAGTTATGTGGGATCCACGAGTATGGTAGCATCCCAGTCACAGTAACCCTGGGCTGTTTTTCTGCTGATAGGACTGTATGAGAACAGGAGAGACGTCTGGGGGATGCCATTAAATGTTTCCATATCTGGAGTTGTTCCCTATACAATTACTTGTTTGTGCATGGTGTTGTGACAGTCTGGTGATGGAGGTGTATGGCAGGAAGTGGAGGTCACGCCAACAATCTCTCTCTTGGAACAGAGTGCCTTTTTGTCAGTCTGGAGCTGACTCAGGGTGCAGAAAGAGGTAATCCAGTTGCATCAGAAACCAATAGACTCCCCTTCACAGCATGCTGAGCGCTGACAGTAGGAAATGTTGGAGTAGAAAATCTGTTCCGTAATAGGGGAAAAAATAGACACTAGCTAAAATGTTAATAAAAATGCCTGAATTATTGAATTAAAAAGTGTCAGGACTTGAATACTTGTGCCGGGGGTTCCTCAAAATCTCACTTAGGTAGTAGGTTTTTAGTTTCTACACAGGATTATTAATTTTTCTTATTTAGACTTGATGACAGTTAATGATGCAGCTATCAGATATATCTTCTAAGTTATTTTGTCAGACAGGGTATGTGAGTATCATGTATACACACACATTTGTAAGAATTTCTTGAGGGTAGGAGAAGGACTTCAGCTTTTTGAAAAAGTTGTAGAATCCAACTAATTGGCTGTAAAGCTCTGAAATCCTAACTGATATCCTTGACTCATCAGTATGAGGTGTACAGCATATAAGAGGATTTGTAAAAAGAAGTCACATGTTAAGTGTTCATGTCGTAGAAGATTTGCAGACTATGAGTATTGAGAGGTAACACTATTAGTTTTACAGAACTGCCTTTTGTCTATGACATTGCTGGAGACAATGCAAAACCTGTAGCCCTGCAAAACTGTAGTCCTTAGGTTAACCTAGGAAGACAAAACAAACAGGTAAACAAAAATATACCTGCAGCTGCCTTAATAAGACACTCTCAATTTTTTCTCCTTTTTTAGGAAAAGGAGGTCTGCCTCATACTTTGTCATTTAATTACATCCACTGCTGTAGGATCAATAGTTTGGTTTGAGGGCAGGTTTTTGGCTGGGTTTGTTTTTTTTTTCTTTACTCTGTGGAAAGTTTCAGACTGCAAGCCAGATACACTTTGGTACACATTTGAGTCACATTTAAAATTGCAAACCCATTTGTCAAGTGTGTTAACTTTTACGTTACTTTAACTCAATTGGGATAGGATTTGTAATGCATTATTTTAAACATGCAGAAATCAATGAAGGTTATTTAATGTCTTTCCAAAATTAGTATAGGAAGATTTCCACTTGGGATCGTTCTTTGATAGCCTTTTGTCCAAACCCAGGATCTGGTGATAACGAAGTTGCTGGTTTATATTGTTACGGTGTCTTGGTAGAGCTCAAGTTGTAACTGGGCCAATCCACCTGGGGGTAAGGAAAACCATTTGCATTAAGATAGAGCAGCCAGTTCCTTTCCGCAAGAGAAGCTCTGAGAGGCTGCCCAGATATAAGCCAGTCTGGTTGGTGAATTGCTTCAAAATTACCACCCCATCAAGTTGCCGCACGTCTCTCTCTGCAGGAGGAACTAATACCACTCAAGAATCAAGTAACAAAGTTGAAAACATGCAACACCTTTTTGGCCTGACTGACTTCAAGCCTTTATAAAGCCACAGTTCCTGCTAGTTAACACTTCTAAGCTGAATCATTTACCCCAGAGATGTTCCAATTAGGTAGATTTCCCAATTAAACACATCTTTTATTATGTGCAGTTCTACCAAGCAAGGTTTTAAAGTAGTTAACTAAAAGCAGTAGAGAGCCAAGATTTGGGGGTTTTGCATAAATACTTTGATTGTTTCAAAGTGGCAGTTTGACTGATTATTTAAAAGCATTAATTTTTTCCAATTATTTTAATAGGGTTTTTTATCATCTTCTTTTCAGCAAATTGACTACTTGGTGAGCCAGTACAACACAACTAAGGATAAAGCACTCTCTGACCTAAATAGTAAGTGTCTGATTTAAAGGGGGTTAGCAATGTGTATTTAGAGACTTAAATAAGATGATGTAAATAGCTCATAATGCAAAGTGAAATTTTATTTATGAGAATATGATTTTCAAACAGAAGTGCTGTTCTCAGTGGTAAATGAGACTAAAACCTAAAAATTGTAAATTGTCTCAGAGCTGGTATAATGCATATTATTTCCTGAAATAAAAGTATTTTATGAAATTGCTTATACAATAAGTCAGGCTAATATTTTATTTTCCTTTTTATAGTTCGGTAACCACTAATACTTAATGCTTTTTTAGAATATTATTCCTCAGTTTTTAAGTGTGGAGCCAAATGTCAAAGAACAGAGATACTAACTGTTTTGATGATTCCAATGAGTGAGAGATCTCTGTATTTGTTTATTTTGTTGTTATACCTTTGTCCTCTACTCAGCTAGAAGTTGAGGTATAAGCTTATCTTCTTTCTAAAGCTGCTTAATGTATTTGCCATTTCAGAATGAGTAGTTGGAGAGCAGGAGATAAAACTTGAAATACAGCTGCTGCACTTTCCCCTTCAGCACAGTTACAATACAAGGTGTCACCTTCTAAAGCTCTCAGTAAACAGAAACAACCAAACCACTGATTTTTTTTTGGGGGGGAGGGGGTGGGGGTGGGAATTTAAGCATCACTTTCCAAACCTGATAATGAAAGGACCAACCATATACAGTGCAGATTAGAATTCAGGGTGCATTGTTAGCAGGTGTTAATAAATGTGTACAGATCTGCATTTCAGACTGAAGTGAAATACAGAAATACCAAAACTGATTTTAAAAGTACTGTTGCTGGGATCAAACTATGCAACTGTTGCATCATGCCACTTATCATAAATTGACTTATCATGCCCAGAATCAATGTTTCTGTCTAGTTTAAATTGTATTTCAAAGGTAGTTTTCAATGCAGCCAGCTTGGCATACCCTGAGATCAATGTGTCTTGTCTATGTGAGGCTACTGATGCACACTGAATGGGCTTGCGAAAGTAGTAGTAGGAGTAGTTAAGTTGTCTTCCTACTTAATTCTAGGCAGGAACACTCTGGTCTAAAAAAATGTGTGTCATCATTAAGTTTATAATAATAATAATAATAATAAATTGACATCTGCATTTCAAGTACTAGCTTGTAGCTTCCCAGGCACTTCAAACCGAAATTTCAAATTAAATATTTATTTGTCCTCAATGCCAATTTAATATGTTAGTTAAGAGGATCCTAGCTGGATCTGTGACGAGAGTGCTCATCAATAAATAAAGATAGCATTTATTTTCTTGAAATACCAAAACTAAGTGTGTGACACCTGGGGACAAATGGATTTCATTCTGAGGGAATCAATGGTAGCTTAAACCTCAAGAGAAATGTAGATGAGTTCAGTTTGCCCACCCTAAGGAAATGCTGGAAAGTGTTTTCTACTTGATAAAAATTCTTATCCCAAGCCAGACATGACAGTGCTGACAGTAATGGATGCTTCTGTATCATGCAGTATTCCCATCTCATCAAGAGCAAAAAAAAAAAAATCAAAAAGCTGTTTACCATGATCTGAAAATGGAGGGGACCCGGGAACTCCCTAAAGAATACATTACATTAAGATGTTTCACCAAACTCCGCTCAGCATTTGTCTATCTTCTTGCTGAACTAAGCTTCATTTCTGTTTGTGGGCAGTGAGAGAAGGGTTTGGAGGTGGGCATAGCTATGGATAAGCATGAGGCCAGCTCTGTAAGCATCAGTGCTGAATGTAGTGTGTGAGGGGGCAGGGGCTAGAGACACATGCTTAACACGCTTAAGGGATTTCAATGGAGATAGCTGGCAGATCTGGGTTGTGGGTGACCTTGACATTACTAGATACCTGAGGAACAGGAGAAAGAAAAAGAATCCTTTTTCTAGTTTCCCTTGCACTATGGAAACATAGCATGTAGTAAAAAAGTATGCCACAAAATTTCTGTCCAAATGTTGGACCTCTTTGAGATAGATTGTGGGAAAAAATCTGTTTCCAAAAAAGTAATAAATGCAATAAAATACTTATTTTGGAGTTTAAGTGTTGTGTGTCTTTACCTGTATGGTCAAGTGCTAGTGAATATTCTCTGCCATATTTTGATTTACTGCTTTCATTTATAGGCCTATAGCTAGCTAAAGGAGAACTATATTCCTGCATTATCTTCTGTGACTGACTGTCAGACCTTAGAGAAATTTTAATAATATATGTATACTTTGTTAAGCAAGAGTCTGACAGCACCTATGCTAAGAGGTAGTTTAAATTGAACTAGTGTGTAATGTTTTTTTTTAATCTCCCCATACTACAGACGTTGGACCTTTGCTTGGAAGTAGAGTTCAAGAACAGCTGGGAAAAGAAGTACGTCCCGCACTTGATGCAGCTCTGACAATGGCAGGAGGTAAAGATGTACATATTGTTGTATTAATGTTCTGTTGCCTTGGTAAAACAGGCATCATCTTTCTAGTGCACAGCATGGGGTGACTTTATGCAGTACCATGATTGAACTGACTCTTTTTCTACCTGCCTTGATGTTTCTTTTAAACTGAGGATTTCAGATATTTTGAGGTTTATAGATACATTTAAAAACTAAATCAAGATTTGTGTACTTTGTTGATACCTAGTTTCAGCAGTCATTGAAGAGAGATGAAATTCGAATTCCGTGCTCTGAGTTGTTGTCCCTTTCCATTGAATATAAGAAAGACTAGGAAAACTGCTTTAAGAGCTGTCTATAGGTCTGTGCAGGTTAGTCTTTGACAGGTGTGGGAATTAACATGCAATGACCTTGTCCTGTACACCGCCAAGCTTATTATGAGAGTGCTAACCATCATGTCTTCATTGTATCTGACTTTAGCATCCCTCATGCTTAGTGCTGTCTCCCTTTAAAGAAAATATTCCTTTATTATTTTTTATATTTAAGGCTTTCTTTCAGGAATCAGATACAACTTAGAGAGCAAAGGGAAAGGCATCCATGAACTTGAGTCACTTTGGTTTTTTTCCCCATGAATTCTTTTTTATTTACTTGTCATCATTCTCCTTCTTTGCTTTATTTCTCTTATTTGTCTTGAAGTCAAAGTGGAAAGGGCAATCAAAGGTAAAAAACATGATAAAACCTTGTGTTGTGTGAAGTGCACTTTATTTTTGTAACTTGTGTATTTTTAGTTGTATCTGTGTGTTTTTTTGTCTACTAAACACCTGTTCGGTGGTTTTGGTTTTTTGTTTGGTGTGATTGGGATGGAATCTAAAGCCAGACAACGTTGAACCCTCATTAATACTTGACTGATGTCTTTCCCTTTCATCTAGCAGCTATGTAATTTGGTTTATAAAGAAAATACTGAAAATACTGTTTTGTGGATATGGGCTTTCTTTCAATTTCTAGTGACCAAGTGTTGAAGTTTACTGAAACCACTGAGTAAGGAGAGGTAGGGGAAGGGTTGAAAAGAATAACCAGAGAAGTGGATAGAATCTCAATAGAAGTAGCCTGAGCACATTCGTTTGTGATGTATTTTTATGTGCGATAAATACATACTGTGTGCTAGAGGGTTATTCTGGGGGGGAGGCAGAGTTATTTAAATCAGTATTGTTAAGAATATCATAGCATTCATGCACATGCACTTTCTTTTCATATCTGTATCCGTAGACTGGTTTCTAACTAAAGGTTTTTAAAAAAACTTCACATCCTTGCAGCCATCAGAGAAACGAAGGAAGCACTGGAAAATGTGAGTGTCTCTGTAGAGGTTTTGCAAGAGGGAACAGAGAGGCTTCATGGAAACTTGACAGATGTTAAAATGCATCTAAGCAACACCCTCAATGATTCTGCATGCTCTGCGGCTCAGGCTGCCTCAACTTGCAATATCATCAGGAATTCGTTAAATCAACTGAACATCAATGCCAATTTTAGTGGGGTAAGAGAATATTTTTCAGACTCTTACAGTGTGACTGCCTTGAATAAGCCCAGTAGTATCTCTGCAACTTAATGGCTCACTGTATGCTGTCACTGGTGAGATAAGTGACCCTCCCTTATTCTGTGTTTCTGGGTTATGCCAATCGCTGTTCTTGTCTTCTGTGTAGAAGAGGATAAAATGTGTGTCAAACAGCTATGTTAAAGTGCTGCTCTCTGGGCAGTGAAATAATCTGCCTTCTGAAAAATGCCGAGGTTAAGCTTTGCTTTTCTACAGCAAAGGTTTCAGGAGTGTGCTGGAAAGATTCTACTACAAATCATCTTTCTGATTTCTTTACTCTCTCTCCTACCTTTGAAATATTTAGTAAATTAGCAAGACTACTACTTTAATGTGATTCAAGAATGCTATTTGCTTCCTAGTTGCCAGGAGTAAGCTCACAGCTTGCGAAGGTCAATGATGTCCTTAAAACAGACCTTTCCAGTCTGGTTCAAAAGGTATGTTTCTTGACAGACTTGTAAAGTGCTAATTAATAAACTGGGATACTTGCATACCACTTGTTTACCCTTGGCTTTCTCAGGCAGAATTCTCTTGTTCCTGCCTCATTCTGCCTCATGGTGGATATCTCTCATTATTCCATTGTTTGGCCAAGATTTAATATTTGAAAGTATGAAGGTAGTGCTTTGTATCTCCAGGATACTACAGACCAAAAATATATTGCTAATTGTCTGCTTGAAAGATCAATCCTTAAAAAACAAAAAGGCAGAAGCATGGATCTACAAACATGCTCTGTATTTTTTGGTTTAAACTAAAGCAAAAAAAATAATCCACGCTCTCCTAATCAGTTGTATTGTATACCAGCTATTTTGAAATATGTCTTTCAAAATGTTTATGTGCGTATTTGATATTAAATCTGGTGCAATGGACTAAATGTAATTACTATTAGTATTTTTTGCAAGACTATCCCCAAACCACCATGATTTTCACCTAGAAAAAAATGGCTTAGTTTGAGCAGTTTAAAAATTTAGCAATCTGAAAATGTTTGCTAGGAATAGAAGGCACTTTCTGAAACCAAAGGGACTTAGACCCCTGCCTGCTTCTGAAGTGATCCGGCCTGAAGTAAAACTTCAAGCATCCACTGCAGTGGCTTCTCCTTTCTGTCCAGATGAGCTACTAAGCTTAGTCTCCATGGTTTAGACCCTTTCTTTCCCCTTCTCACTGAAGAAAGCATTGCAATGTCTTTAGACATTTAGATATTTCATTGTTTGTAATGTGTGTTTCTTGTTAAGAAGGCATAGACTTGCAAAGAGGAGGTATTTGACTGATACGCTGTAACTCCTTTCACTTAGTGAGTCTTCATATGTGTATTCTCAGTTTTACATGAGATAGATCTGACAGGCAACAGTACTATAAAGTATGAGATGATTGTGACCGATGCATGTGTATTTAAATTTAGATTTTTTTTTTTATTTTTTTTTTTCCCCAAGGAATATCCTGGAGAACAAACTGAATCTGAAATATACTTGAGTTTGTGTTTTGCTTTGACGTTTTCTAATGTGCAGTGATTAAAAAAAGTATTTTTGTCATAGTATTACCATGTACATTTTAGCATGTGTATACTTTTACTCCTTGTATAAAAGGAAAAAAACTGCAAGTAATTTGGCAATGAGAAACTTAATTATAATTTTTCCAACTTTTATACTTAGGGTTATGCAGCATTTAATGATACTCCAGACTTAGTGGTGAATCAAACCAGGAACATTTTATCAGGTGATGACAAAATATCTTTTACTTTGGTTGTTTAATGTTGATGTTGCATCATTTAATAATGGTTTTGTTTTCTTTTATTGATAATATGTTTTCTGGGCTAAAGAGAATTAAAAATGGAAATGTAAATCTTAACTTTTTTTTTTCTTTTTTTTTTTTTTAAATTTGGTGCCACAACAAAGACATGGAAAGCAACTGTGTCTTAATGAGGACCCAAAATTAAATCTAAAAATAGCCCATTTGCTATTTTATGGAGGAGTTTTATTTGTTAGGCTTTTTACTGCTCAAATAATGAGAAATCTTGGGAAGCCAACTGCACACTGAGACTTTATTTGATTGAAAAGCTAATTTTTCTTGACCGATGTGTCTATGACGTATTTAGGAGTGTGGTGTTAAAAAAAAGCTGAACCTGCCTGCTGCTGTATTAAAATGTAGTGGATGGCGAACAGGAGGTAAAAAAATACCTTAAAGATAATTTAAATGTCTGTCTTAATTGTTTTGTTACTTGGGCTTTACACTGTTACTCTTTGACAGTACCTGGACACTTGACATTTGAATAAAATATAGTATAGTTTATGTATACTAATCTGTTTTAATTTTTGTTCTTGCATTGTGGACCTGTTCTGCATATAAAAACAGCTGTTCCTTGTAAGTTTGGTTTGGGTCTTTTGTTGGTTGTTTTGGTTTGGTTTGGGTTTGGGTTTTTTTTTCCGCCTGGGCAAAATGAAACACAGTATGTATACAAGCATAGCCATGCTCTGTGAACTTCCCTGAAATGAGACAGTTTTCTAAAACTGATGTTATGCTTTTCATTAGGAAATCTAGTGCAGATTTACTCGTTTTTGGTATCTGCTGATATGCATAAACACAGACAAACCATCTTAATTTATCTATTTATAAATTGTTGGGGTTTTGTTTTTATAAAAACTGAGTTTGAGTTTCAAAACAAATAAAAAAAATAGGTTTACTCAAAAAAAATTACGTTTGTAAACTTTTAAAAGAAGAGTGGTTTTGTACCTGGTTGAATTTAGAAGAGTAAACATCAAAACAAAAAGCCAAAAACTTACCCAGTTTTCTTTAAGAGGAAGGTGTTGCCTACTACCAAATAGCAACCTGTAGTTATACATCCTGCTGTTTCAAGTATGTTCCAAGTTGAAAGAAGGGGAGGAGTAAACAGAAACTGAATTTTACAAATAGAGGATATGCATAAGTGAATTAATCATGTCTTTGTGTATCTACATAGTGTGTATCTAAGCTGTAAGTATAGGGTGTCATGTTCGTTCATAATTTGAGGGAAAAAATGGCTTAATTGATCATTATCTCAAGAGTGTTGCTAACTGATTGGAATGAATTTATTTAATTTTTTACTAAGATTGAAAAGAACTACTATAAGTTCTTAATATAGGCAGACTAATTTCTTTCACAGTGTTGTATTTGCAAGGGATGGAGTTTAAATGGATTTTTGATGTTCTCTTTCCTAAACTTAGTGGCAAATTGTCTTGCTCAGTGTTACCATTTGCAATATTGCATGAAAAGCAAGATTTAAGCTGGCTAGATAGAAAGCGACACATTCATTATAATGAAAGGAAAGAGAGAACTCTGGCTCGACATCTACATCTTTCATCATTAAACTGAATGCTAAAAATAAAGTGCGCATTTTAAAATGCCATTGTGTTGTTTTGAAGCTCAATGTTTTTGTTGCTTGCTTGTCTCTTCCTCACGCTTGTCTTCATAGCTTGCTTGTTACATGTGGCAAATGGTTTAATAGCATTTTATAATCCATATATAGAATGTAAATTTCTTCTATGAATCTGTAACAGTGTGATGTCTTAATTCTTGTAGATATCAAAAGTGTGCTGGAATCCATTGGTTCAAATATCACTACCTTCACAAAAACGCTCCCTGTTCAGAAGATTTTAGCAGATTTGATGATATATCTTACACAGAGTGAAGCATACGTTCAGGATTATTTTCCGGTAGTGGAGCAGTACGATTTCTACAGGTATGTACAGGAAATAAATCAGGAGTGAATTGCTACCTGTTGTTAATACTTTGTAATATTTTAATGTTCTGTAAAGGCAGTTAAACTATTAATGATGAACATGGCGAAACAAAGATGCTGTAAGGCAATTGTTTGTTACTGGCATTTTGGTAAAAGCCAAAACTGCAGCTAATCAACAGTTGGGTGCTGTTCCACTACAGAGCAAGAGGTAGTTTCTACTTTGTAGGCCTTCAAGTCTTTTTCAGGAAGGATAGATGTAGGTAGATCTTGATGATGTAATGCATTAAAAAAAATGGATTATTTCACAGTGCCAGAGTGACCTCTTATTTAGGGCTTATTTTTGTTGAGTTGCAGGTAAGTTGCAAGAGCATAGGACCAGAGAGGCCTTGAAGCCAATCCTGTTTTATTGCACCCTTTCTACCACAGAGGAGGAGTAGCAGGGATTCTGCTTCACACCTTGTAAATCTTTGTGCGCTTATGCTTGTTCCTACTGGTGTAATACTTGTCCTTGTGAATGCATGGGTTGATTGTACTTTGAGAAAAACATGTTATTGCTGTTTGAGACTTGTGTGACTCCTATAATTGAGTAATAATCTCATATTTTGAACAATAAACCTTTTCATTTCATACCATTTAACATTGTCCAGACTTAGTCATTTTAGTTGTCAAACTCATCAAGTTCTCCTTACGTTTTCACACTTCAGTTGATCCTATAATCGATAATTGCTTCTATCTTAGTGTCATAATCCCTTTCACTGCTGCAGAATAAATGTGCTAATGACTTTAGTGCAATGATAAATAGAAGTGAGCAGAAGACTGAACTTTAAGAACCTTACTTACAACCTTACCTTTAGCCCATTCCTTATCTGGCAGTTTTTGTGGTGAGCCTTAATTTGACAAATTTATCAGTATTTCCTTTGATGCTCAGATTGCATTTAACCAAATAGGTATATTGCTTCATTCTACTATAGTATGCCTGTGTTAATCTTGCATTTAGATTCAAAAAAGTGGAGAAATAGATCTCATCTACATGGCACTTAATTACCTATTCTTGTCAAACCTAACCTAGTAGTACTTCAAGTACAGATGAACCAACAAGCCTGTAGTTATCCAAATTATTTTCTATCCATCCCTTTCTTAATTACAGGTGCATTATTTGTAGTTCTTAGTAAGTATTCTTTTATGAATGTGCCTGTGAACACTAATGTTTTTCTTTCTCTTTATTGACTGTGCATATTCATTATGATATTCCTTTTTCTGATTTTTCTGGTTCCTGCTTTCTCTCTACAAAGGCTCAGGGAGGAGAAAAGGGAACTTAAGAAATGTAATCTGGCAGAAGTGACGACAAAAGGGAAGAGGAAGAGCAGAGGGAATTGGGAGAGAGTGAGAGGCTAGAATGAGAGATAAAATGTGTGAATAAATGGATGTGCTCCAAATAACTGGGCAGATAGAACTGTTATGTGATTTAATTAATAAAAATGAAGTTCAATTCCTATCCAAAACCTTTCTCCTCATCAAGTTCTGTTAGCTGCTCCATACGTTGAAAGCATTCCAGCACAGGTACACAAAGCCTAGGTTTTGATAGCCTTAAATACAGTTATTTACAATTACAAGCCTAACACACTGTATGCAAAAAGTAGTAAGCCTTACAGTAAGAGCAATTATGTACTTCATGGCCAATGGCCAGTCCACATTCATAAATTTCTCCATTGCTTCTTGAATAAATTACTGTTTGAGCATCTGCCTTGTCTGAGTCAGTTTGCTTCACTTGGAGCACTTTGACACTTCAGTACAGTCCACCTGCAGTAACTGGGGTTAGGAATACATTGTTCCTGTGCTGTTTGTTCCCCAGCCCTTCAGTAGCAGCTGTCTATAATCTAACAGTGATTACGTTCTGGCGCAAAATACGTGCTAGTGTAGGAAGAGCATTTTTTTTATTGCTAACATTTGTTGCTCAAACAGAACCACAAGTGGGCCAGTTGGGAATATAGTATTGCCTGATGTATTCTGCAGGTCTCCAGTGTGTTCTTTGCATGCTAATAACCAAGCACTTTGGCTCTTATTCCTTAGGTGGCTGGGTTGTCTCATTCTGTGCTGCATGGTGGTCCTGATTCTGGTCTTTTACTATCTTGGATTGCTATGTGGCACCTGTGGTTATGATAAACATGCTTCTCCAACAACCAGAGGCTGCATCTCCAACACTGGAGGAAACTTTCTTATGGCGTAAGTTTCGCTTATTGGTGAAAAATAAAATAAAGGTACCTGTAGAAGGTTGTTTTTATTGATTTTTGACAGACATATGTATGGAAAGAATTTGTTTTGTTATCTATATATATATGCTGAAAAAAATAGAACAAAAATAAATATTGATCTCGCATACTTCCACTGAGGGACTTGGGGATTTTGTGTTGCTCTTTTATTGAGGATCATAGCTGGAGAATAAAACCTCTGAATCTGCTGTTCAAGGCAAGTGCTATAGCTAATGAATTTTTATGTAAGCCCATTTGGAAACTGCAAAAACTGGGAGCAGATAATTGAAAATATAAAGGCAATTCATAGCTTTTTAGTACACTTGAGCATTTGCTTGAAAGAAAAAAAAAAAAAGCCATGTGAGAGACACGAAACACTTGACTTTCTCAGAGAACTTTAGGAGGTTTGGAATGGCTCTTGGAAGTTCCCAGTAGTGGTTTAATGTCATTTCTGCTGGGTGCAAGAGAAGATTGCATCTGAAATCTGTCTAAAACTCTTGAGAGCACAAGGCTAGAGAGTTGCATTTAAAAAAGAAAATTGTATGCTTTTTTGGCTCTTAAAGTTTGCATGCCCAGTGGAAATGTGAATATTTTAGATGCACTTTAGCTGAAGACTTTACAGGGCTGAAACATATAAAGTCTTTCCAAGGGCAGGAACGTATATGGCAAACAGAAGTATTTCAACCATCTACCAGTTTTTGTATCTCTGTTATAGCTGCTAGTTGTTGACTTCACTGTTGCACCAGGTATATGTAATTTGTTCTTACAAAGCAAAAACTTACTCAACTTATTTCTTTTTCAGTGGTGTTGGATTCAGTTTTCTTTTCTCCTGGGTGCTGATGATTGTAGTGGTGCTCACTTTTGTCACAGGTGGAAATGTAGAAAAACTGGTCTGTGAGCCCTTTGAAGATAAAGCTTTATTCAAGGTGAAGCTATTCAAGTTATTAAACAATTAATAGAATCCCCATGAGTCCTGATGGTCTTGTCAATTATGTATGGTATATTATGTTTTATGGGACACTTGAAGTGAGTTTGGATCTGGTTTTACTTTCCCCTTACACACAGAGTAGAGACATTCATCCTTTCTTGGTTTAATTTGCTTTGCAGTGTAAATACTGCATGCTTGTCTTCCTTTGGAAATAAATTTTTCTGTGATTCAGGATTTCTTGGTGACATGGAGCTCTGATATTAACTTTCTGCATCAGAGAGGTTGAATTCGCTGTTTAGCTTGTATTTCCATTAGTGGGTGATAAGCTTTAGATGTGGGTATATGTCAAAAGATCGCATATGAATAAATTCATTAATTGAAAACTTGGAATTACAGTAACATTACTGAATTTTGTCTTCTAGGTTTTGGATACTCCCTACTTACTAAATCAACACTGGAAAAACTATCTTTCTGGCATCCTGTTTAAAAATCCAAATATCAACTTGACTTTTGAAAAAGTGTACAGGTATTAAAGTTATGGTCAAGATTTAATTCAATTTATATGTATTGTTTTTGTGGTATCTTCCATGCTTCATATTTCGAGCACATGCAAAAATTACATGTGTTCCAGAGGACATTCTGATTTTCTAGTGCATCACTAGCAAAAGGTATTTCCTTATATATCTCAGTTATTATAGTCTTAGTGTAATATTGTATAAAGATACTAGTTCAGCTCTTTGATAAAATATTTTGTATCTTTGAGACCAGCAGAAATCATTAATTACTTGCTTTCTTATAGACTGAGCTTTAAAAAATATAGCCAGAACGTTTTTTTTTTTAAAGTGCTGATTTTCTTAGAATATGAAAACATTGCTAATCATTCTCTTAACAGTTGGTCCTTAAGGTGGTTTTTAGGCTGATGTATGTATTTTTATTTTTATAGTGATTGCAAGGAAAACAAAGGAATTTATACTTCCCTTCACCTAGAACACCTGTTCAATATCAATGAATTTCTAAATATTAGTATGGTAAGTAAAGAAAGTATGAGTGAGTGCATTATTATTTTTTGAAGGCTGGAGAGGAGTTTGCTCTTAAACACAGTATAGCATGTCTGGGTTTTATGGGATTTTGGTTTTTATATGCAATACATCCTGCAAAGAGGCAAGATCTGTCCAAGCTCACTTGAAAGGAAGAAATCTATTTACAAATAAGATGTTCTTTACCAGTCTCAGTGGGCCATGGAAGGTTTTCTGATGTGCTTTTTTTAATAGGTGCTTCGAATAATGTTTTTAATTTTGAAACTTGCATAGGAAGTTCAAATCTACCATCTTCCAGAGCTGCTTACAGTGTTTAATAAGAGTCTTGCTCTCTATAGAAATACCTGTCTCTTCTGACTCCAGTCAGATTATGTTGATCCAGGATATGATATGCTGTGTTCTAAGAATGGTTCTGATTTCAGTGGGAAGGAGTTGGGATAAAATAAAAACTTTTCACTTAAGCTGTAATAGTACGTGACTGCACTGTCATGACATGACTGTACTAATTTTGGGGTTGGCTGTAATACTGATCTTCATTACAGCAACCCCTAGGGGATCCATGTTCTGTTCTGCCAGGCACTGTACCCACACTTGATAGATACAGTCCCTGCCCCAGATAATATACAACTAAAATGAACAGGGAAGATTCATTAAGAGGGAAAATTATTTTGAGTTTCCGCAACAGACTGGGAAGGAAGTCAGGCTTCTAGATTCCTCATCTATTGCTCTGTGGCCTGTGCAGGACAGGTGACGTTTTAGATTTGGGTGCAGTGCAGGAAGACTTCAAGTAACAATAAGCAAGTCGTCTTTAGTCACCACTAAACATACTTAGAGGAGTCTCATCCAGTCCTGTGGCCAATATAGCAGACAGTGTCTGTCCTGGCCACAGCTGAGGTACTGAGTTCTCTAGGTTTCCTTGATTAGAGAGAGGAGTAGAACTTAAAAATTTCAAGGATAACATTTCCTGGAGGGGAAGGAGAATTCTGTTTTATCTCAGTCTCCTGTTAGGAGCGACTAACATCTATTCAGAGAACCCTGCTTAAAATGTAATGGAAGGCAAGGAATTCATTGGTATGAAAGATGCATAGGTAGGTTAGAACATGGCATGGCTAGACTGTGTGGGTACTGCAGGGAAGGTAAGAACATTACCTGGTGGTTTCTATCAAAGTTAATTGAATTAAACTGATGTAAGCAAAAATCAATGGATGCTTCTTCATGGCAGTGGTGAGTCAGCAAAAGCAAGATGCCTATAGAGGGATATGCACTGGGTGCAACTACTTTTGTGCTTTATTTTGTTTCTCTCAGTATACAGAAGATGTAGCACTTAAAATTGAACATATTCAGATAAACCTCAGCAAAATCATTCTGCTGGATGAAATTGGGAAGGAGAATCTTCTGAATTTCAGCTCTTCAGGAATAGAAGGGATAAACTTTGCAGCATATTTGACAGAGGTGAGACTGTAGTAAAGTAGAGACATGACTGGGAAAAAGCATAAAATGAAATGTTTCTTCAACAATGGGCAAAACAGAGAAAAATCTGCTTTTGTGTGAAAGGGCATGTTTTGAAGAATCACAAAACTTTGAGCAAAAGCACTTCAGAAGTTAAGGTCAATAAATATTTAAAGAAATAAAGGGTAGACAAAGTAGGTGGTGTGGTTAAGTGCAAACAGTCTGTATATGCAATAACGGCACACTCT